TTTGGATGGGAGTTGAGGCACTGAACGCAACTTTTTGCCTCTTTAATTTCCTTGAAACGATCCTTGACGTTTAAAGCCAAAAACGTTTTACATGAAAATATCGGATGCGCACCCTTGCATTGAATACACCTTGGTTCCTTGATCGTTACGAGAACATTCGCCTTCTTTGGCTTGTTCCTTGATTTCTTCGGATAATCAACCTGCTTTGGTCGATCGTTAGGAAGTGCAATCGCTTCGCTTGCCTGAACTTCAATAAATTCAAGCAACTCAGAAAGTGGAATTCCTTGCCTCTTTTTAACCCTTTGACGACCAAAACTGAACGGCTGGGAATTTTGCAATTCTGATTGCAGATTCGTGCTCAGCGACCCCAAAAATATTAGCAAAAGTGTTATCAAAAATTAATTTTTTTAATTGCAAATATGAAAAAAATGATGGGACATATGTGTCCCATTGGTCGGTAAAGGTAACTATTTACCTTTATTTTTCTATGAAAAAAACATGTCTCCCATAAGAACTACGTGTAAAATCTTTTCCATTTTTAAAATTTATAGAATCGTTTTAAACCAAAAATGGTTTGAATCATGCTTTGTTGTGCCCATTTAATCACGAATTTAACGATCTTTTTGTAAATTTGTGTGTTTCGAAATTCGCAAAAAGTGGTTGAAATACAGGGAAATCAGTGGTAATTATTTACCTTTACCGACCAATGGGACACATATGTCCCATCACGCCAAAAGCAATAAAAATTTGAAACAAAATTTTTTGTAGAAAAGGCGATTATCCTTAGAAAGTAACAGACACTCCGTACAACATTTCCAATTTTCAGCTTTAAAAGTTGTACCCTTCAAATTATATAGGGTTTGGCGGAATTTGAAAAAAAAGTTAAGATTTTTCGACTTCGAAGTGTTCTATTTGAGCACAGTGATGTAAAATATCCAATATTATGGTACTTTCTGGTAGCTACATTCATTCTCTTTCAAAAGAAACCAATTTTATCGAAATCGGTCTAAAAATGTGGAAATTATTGACGAAAAACAAAATGGGACATATGTGTCCCAAAGGTCGTCAAAGGGTTAATTTGGTCATTCCATCTACGCAATGAATATGCGTCAAGACGAGATGTAATGCAATACATCAATATTGGGTCCCAAGAAGACACATCATAATTGAATGTTGGGACTGCACGAATCAACTGATTTGTGCGATTTAACAACTGCAGAAACTGCATAGCGCTTGGACGTGCTTGCAGATATGGCAAATCGAAAAAATTTCTTATATATCCATACATTATTCTCTGCTCGTTGTCATAACGTTGAATCAAAGTTTGCCATGCAGCTTCGTAGTCAGTTGAAGACTTAAACCCATTGATGGCATCCAAAGCTATACCCTTTAAGTGAGTCTTTAACAAATGAAACTTCACAACCTTTGAAATTTGTTCGTTTGAATGGACCAAATAAATGAATTCGTCTCTAAACGAAATTCATTCAATATCTTTATCGTCGAATGTAGACAATTCGACCTTGTCAAATTTGAGTTGCATTATCGGTTGATCGGCTTTTTTTGGCTTTGTTGATTTTGTGATCACATCTGTTCTGTCAGATGGAGCTAACACAAATTCGTCGTCCGAATTGGCAATATGTACCGATGGCACATTTCGCTCAATTGCGGCTCCCACAGGGGCTAATCACGCTCGCTTGTTGCATCTGACTCCTTTTTATGTTCTTTCAAAATACGATCGAATTCAACAGAGATTTCGCTCATTAGAGAGAAGAGCTATGCAAGCGACGCTCTGATTGTCTGAAGCGGTTGAATGGCGGACAGAACAGTAGAGACGCCAACCGCTACTGGATAAATTCGTGCAGTCTTCAATCGCATTATCGCAGTCATATACCACAAATACACGCAAACGCGATTCACTTACAAGGGAGCTGTCAACACAACGTTTGATTTAGCCGTATTCTCGAAAGCACATGTTCAATGAAATCAATGCGACAGTGAATTTCAATTGGAAAACAAGCGTGAAAAGTAGTCCGAAACGAATTTAAAATTGCGAACAACGAAGTTAACTGCCGAAATTGAAAGCGTTCAGCCGTGAATATCCCGAATATTGGAAAAGGTTTGAAGCAAAGAAAATCACGTAATTTGAATCAAATTCTCAAAACAACACTCAAATTAACTCCGACTGATTTTTTCGTGTGACCGTATGATTGCAGCAACTCCATCCAACACAACATTGAGTACGGGCTGAAAGTGACTGAATTTATCGTGAGCACGATAAACCGACCGAGTTGAAGTGCCAACCACATACGGAATCGTACCGTTGGACCGCCAAATCGCCGCAATCGAGTATCAACAGCCGGAATATCAGTGAACGTGATTCAAATTCACCCAACTACATTGAATCGGATTGTCGTCGTGAAATTTAGTGCGGAATCGATCGAGAAAAATCAGCCGTTCAGCAAATCAGAACGTCGATCGATCGGAACGACTAGTTATCGCGCGGTAGCGCCGAAAACAACAATAGCGATCACACGATATAGTTTTGTTGTTCCGTCGTGAGATTTTTGGAGCATAACACTGAGTGCAAGGGATCCGACGAGAATTTTGTGCTGGGAACTCAAAGAGAGGCAAACCAAGGAAATCACCGCACGACCGACACACCACCGAGTGCAATTTACAAAAGCAATCGATTTTGTTGTTTTTCGTGTCGATTTGATAACCGCTGTGTCAGCCATCCGTGAAATAAATTGACCGAAAGTAGTTGCACCACCCAAGGTACCGCCGGATCGCCCAAAATGGCAATGCAATTGATGCAATCACGCATACCAAAATTGTTACAGTTGTATGCCCATGACCGTCAGGCGAGTCTCAAGGTTTGGGCGGAAGTCGAATGGCGAAGCCCGATCGATGCGCTGTTGATGAATGAGCGGTCTGCAACAAAGTTAACGCGCCAGTCCATGGAATTTTTTGGTCGCGACGGACAACCAGAGCCGTAGCAACTAAGGGGCAAGGGGGGCTTTGCCCCCCACGTGTTTTCACTGCCCCACTCGTTTTTCTTATATATGAAAGCAATAGGTACCATAAGGGAAAATTAAAGAAAAAAAGGAAAAAAAAAATTAAAGACAATGGAAAACAAAAGCAATAAAGAAAACTATTTATATAGTTTTTACTGCATTCACAGTTCATTTATTTTGTTTTTCAATCACTCAAAACTGCTCGCGATTTGACAAAAAACTTCGAATAACATTTTATCATTTTTTAAGAGAATAATTGTACTTCACGATTTTCCAATGCATTGAATCTTAAAAGAATTGTGTTCTTGTCCAAATAATCAGGCAGTACGTCTGATTGGTTTAAAATGTCGAAATATGGTCTTGCTCCGGGTGATGTTTTCAAATCGCAATATTGTATGAAGAAAATGACATTTTCGACTTCAAACATGCTTTTATTGGTTTTAATCGTAGAATTATTTCATATTTTAGCGAAATGAACAAAAATATGCTCATTTCTTTATCAATTTATATTAAAATTAGAGCTTTTTTGTACAAATCATCATTTTAGGTGAATTTTTGAATAAAAAAGCCGAGTGTTTTTTTGTGCCCAGACTCGATTATTTTTGAAAAATAGTAGGAGTTTTCTAACATAAAAGCATCAAATTACGCGTATTTAAGAAACCTCCCCTAGAAAATGACCATTTTTCAAAAGATTTCCCACAAAAATGGCTGTTAAGAAACCTAAGTGACGAGAAACAAACAAGTGATAAGAAGCAAGTAGGAATACATCTATTTTCTCGTCACTTTTCATTTAAAATTTTATCTAAAGTGACGATTTTTACAATAAGCGTTCATTTAAAGCTAAAGTGATGGAAAAGTGAATGTATTTTTATATATTTCGCTCAAATATGAAAGAATCCTTCGATTGAAACCAAAAAGTTTGACAGGATGGTCGAAAAATCGAAAGAATTGAATTTTTTTTCACAATGTGATAAAATCTAGGGGCTTCACGCGATTTTGCAGAACGCAAATAACTCTGAAAAAATAAAAATAATAGTGAATCAAACCTTCAACCGAAAATTTGAACCACTTTTGAAGGTTTTTGGTGAATAACGATGAATATTGGAACATTTTTTGACGATACAATCTGCACAAATTTACTGGTATGCACGTCAATCTCAAATATATATGTATATTTAATAATATTCATTAGACTGTAATGACAAAAAATGTTCCAATATTCACCGTTATCTACCAAAATCAATCAAATTTACGGTTGAAGGATTGATTCACTATTAATTTTATTTTTCATTCGTATACACGTAAATTTGACATATCTATGTATATTCAGTAATATTCATTTGTCGTTCACGATGAATATTGTTGAATATACATGGATATTTCGGATTTACATGCATACCATTGAATTTCTATGTTATTACTTGATGCGTGCGGATATAAAAGATGAAAAAAATGATTTTCCCCCCTAGGATAAAATAGAATTTGGCTAAAATCGAACAATTTTAGGTGACGAATCCAAAAAAGAAATAAAATTTGAAACTTTTTGGTGTACTACATTTCTTATTTTTACTCTGAATGTTCAGTAACCCAAAAATCAGTGCCGATGGATTTTTGGGGGTACCTTGAATGTGCGCTGGAAAGGGCTTGTCAAACCCTAACTTGTGTGAAAATTTCATCCACGGATGATCTCATTGAGATTTTTATTTCGACCACCACCACAGAGCACACAGGGGCAGATATCGGGAAAAAATTTCGGCGTTTTGAGTTTTTGGCCAAACCCAACTTCCATGCAAAATTTAAAGCGATTCTGAAAACCCTTGTGAATTTTGATTGATTTCCTATGGAATGGTCGATAATATGAAACAATTATAATTATTGGATTAGTGTAAAATATTAAATTATATTTAGAAAAAAAATTGCCCCCCCCCACGCAAAACAGTGTTGCTACGGCTCTGCGGACAACATTAGATAGCTGTCGGGGGCCACATGGAGGATCGATCGACGGACGGGGTGATCCACACGATCGTCACGATTACACCAGAACGGTGGATCAAAATGAAGAAGGTGGACATCCGCATTAATAATGGAATTTTTGCCGACCCCCACCACCAATTGAGCAATGTCGCCGTGATTGTTGGGTTCACGTTGAACGCAAATTTTGCCGTGGAAGCTATCAACGAAGCGACCGCGAAAGCACCACCGAAAGAAAATTCTCCGCCGATCCAACCGATCGATGAAAAGACCGTCGAACCGAACGAAAAAACCGACGCCCAAGAAGCTATCAACGAAGCGATTGCAGAAGCACCACCGAACGAAAATTCTCCGCCGATCCAACCGACCGATGAAAAGACCGTCGAACCGAACGAAAAGTCCGACGCCCAAGAACCTTCGACGAGCAAAGAAGTTGCCGAAGAAAGTACGTCGTGTCATCACCGCTGCAATGTTTTGAAGCACAGCAGCTCCGAGGATTACGACGAGCGCAGTGACACCGGAACGGTACAGGATGCACCAGTGGATTGGTTGAGCTGGAAGGCGAAGTATTGGGATGAAAGCGACTGACTACCATTGCAAACTGTGACACACTCAATCAATAAACCATTTTCATAATATAATATAATATTTTTTCGAACATTTGTCGTCTTTCATTTTTTTGAAACAGCCGAGAGGGAGTATGGAATGATTCCAATTTTTTACAAGTCAAACGGTATGCGTCACCGCCATCCGAATGCCAAGGCAACCGTTGGATCAACGCCTAGGTGCCTCGCACGCATTGTAAACCTCTCTGCCGGCCTTAAAGAAGGGAATAGTGCCAAAGCCAATTGTCTTAATTTGTTGAATTTTTGTTGAATTCGGATTCAGATTGGATGAAGTAGTAAGAGTAGGATAGCTGCCGCAACGATGAGACTGTCGCCAAGTAGAGTAGGGAGTATGAATTTAGTCCATAAATTCAGTCTGAGGGGAGGGTGGTGAACTGATAATAATTTTAATGCATGAAAATCATTTTAGTCCACGCCAAGAAATGAATAAAACTGTGTACAGAATTTTCTGCCGAAATGTCCGAGTGTCCGAGAAATCCAAACGAGATTTGTGACGAAGAGAGTGGCGAACTTAAATGTAAGTAGAGATAATGTATTGAACATAAACTCAGACTCACGGAAACTGTTCTTCAGCGCCGAGCACACAGGGGTAAATCATATGGGCACACACGGTTAACGCACATATGAACACACACGTGTAACACCACATACGACAGCACTGCCGAATCGAAGGACCGACTACCTAGAGTCGAACCGAACGACTTGACCGAGGCCATTCACCGTCGATGCCGTTTCATGTTGTCAGCCGCTATTGAATCGTCGCAGGTTTGATAGTCCTAAGCCACCGAAGTGCTCAATCTCTTCGCAACGCCGCCGATTCGCATTGAATCTGCAGAAACAAGTGTTATTGGCATGACGACCCAATTCGACGCTTTACACCGATTGGGTTGAATCATTGGCCCTACAACAGCATACGCTACGTCGAGAAAATCAACCAAAAATTAGTATTATTGTTTAGCCAATCCATCTCAGAACCGCCGTGAATTGATTAAATGGAATAGTAAATTAATTTCTTTGTTGTAAATCAATCAAGCCTTCGTAAACTTAGTGAACCTCTGAGGAATACAGCAACGGTAAAACCTGTCGATTAAAACAGTTTTTTCGGTTCATCGTGTACAAATATAAAAATGAGTAATGCCCGTTGTAAGTGGTTCGGATTTAATTAAATCCAAAGATTTAATTTTCAACTTTGCGAAAACGGCCAAAAAATGAAAACTGATTGGATAGGACGTAAAATTTGGGCGAAAACAAGAAAAACTGGCCTTTTGAGTACACCCGATAAGCCTTATGGGGCCTTGAAATCACGATTTTCCCGAATTTCGTTAAATCCTAAAGATTTAACTTTCAAGTGCGGGATTTAAGCATTTTTCACGCAAAACCATGTTGCAAATAAGTCAAAAATTGTTGGAAATGACCGAAAAATTCTAAATCAGCAAAAAACCCAACCACTTTGTACGTTTTTTGAGTCCAAATATGCAAAAATATCATTTTTCGTATATTCTCAACATTTAATTTTCAAATGCGGGATTTAAGAATTTTTCACGTTAAACAGTGAGTCAAATAAGGCAAAAGTTGTGGGAAATGGTCCGAAAAATCTAAATCAGTAATGAAAATTAAGCACTTTTGACCATTTTTGGGTTCAAATAGGCAAGAATATCAGTTTACGGAAACCCTCAGTATTTCACTTTCACATAATGGTGAATTTTTTTGGGAAATCTCGTTTTTTGACAGTCTGCCCATCCAAAACCCCTAGCCAGCTTCAAATCAAGCGCCGAAAGCCATATCTGTGGTTTGCGTATGGGGATTTCAGGTCAGCACAAGATTTAGATAGGTAAATGAGTTTTTTATGAAACCATGAAAGTAAAATCTCAATAGAAATCCCATTTGTGATATTCCAAACGTCATGAAACTTTCTGGATCTTATTTTTTTACCAAAAAACTCAAGCCCTGAAATTTCGAAGGCAATCGAAAGCGATTTACGGGTACCTCCCATACAAATTTGGCCAGTTTTCCCAATTTTATGAAGAAAATAAGAAAATTTGTATGGGAGGTACCCGTAAATCGCTTTCGATTGCCTTCGAAATTTCAGGGCTTGAGTTTTTTGGTAAAAAAATAAGATCCAGAAAGTTTCATGACGTTTGGAATATCACAAATGGGATTTCTATTGAGATTTTACTTTCATGGTTTCATAAAAAACTCATTTACCTATCTAAATCTTGTGCTGACCTGAAATCCCCATACGCAAACCACAGATATGGCTTTCGGCGCTTGATTTGAAGCTGGCTAGGGGTTTTGGATGGGCAGACTGTCAAAAAACGAGATTTCCCAAAAAAATTCACCATTATGTGAAAGTGAAATACTGAGGGTTTCCGTAAACTGATATTCTTGCCTATTTGAACCCAAAAATGGTCAAAAGTGCTTAATTTTCATTACTGATTTAGATTTTTCGGACCATTTCCCACAACTTTTGCCTTATTTGACTCACTGTTTAACGTGAAAAATTCTTAAATCCCGCATTTGAAAATTAAATGTTGAGAATATACGAAAAATGATATTTTTGCATATTTGGACTCAAAAAACGTACAAAGTGGTTAGGTTTTTTGCTGATTTAGAATTTTTCGGTCATTTCCAACAATTTTTGACTTATTTGCAACATGGTTTTGCGTGAAAAATGCTTAAATCCCGCACTTGAAAGTTAAATCTTTAGGATTTAACGAAATTCGAGAAAATCGTGATTTCAAGGCTTATCGGGTGTACTCAAAAGGCCAGTTTTTCTTGTTTTCGCCCAAATTTTACGTCCTATCCAATCAGTTTTCATTTTTTGGCCGTTTTCGCAAAGTTGAAAATTAAATCTTTGGATTTAATTAAATCCGAACCACTTACAACGGGCATAAGAATCGAAAAATTGTGATGCAAAACTCTCGAAATAAGTCAATTTTAGGAGGAAATATCGCAAAAAGGTCACGGCGAACACTCAGCCGGAACGATATGGCAAACGCAAAAGTGCATCTGATCGTGACGCATTTTTTGACCGAGTTTCAAGCCATATTGATTCAGATGACACGGCCGATAGCCATGAGCAGAATCCTGACACGGTTAATTTGATTGATTCCGATGGCTCTAGTTCGAGCTCTGACGAAATGGTTTCCATTAGAGATAACGATCTCACATCATCATTTGACGCAATTGGTTCGCAATCGCCGCTGAGTGAATCCAGTCATGAACGCACATCTACGATTGAAATAAGCGATGCGCAAACACCACCACATGAATCAGATAGTGAGTCAGTTGAGGAAATCAGCCCATGCGATAGGCGTACAACACAATCTGAAAGCAACGATCATGTCATTTTAGCGAAGCTGGATGAAATTTTCAGCAGAATTCTGTGCATTGAAAAATCACCATCTACACAACAAACACCCCATACTCAGTTAACACCGAGTTTAAGTGAAGTGTCTTTGGCAACGCCAACATCATAATCACGTAGATTATCGCGTGCTTTCAGCACTACTACGACACCAACATCTGTGAGATCCGACAGAGCGTTGTTAACTCCGAAATCACCATACGTCCGAAGCAACAAATGGAATGAGAGATCAAGACGATTGCTATTATCTATGGAGTCAAATCAAACTACTCCAAAAGAGAATCGATCGCAATCGCAACCCAGTACATCACACGGTAGTCATTTTATACAGGAACAAGGTGAGTTGAACTAAAATCTAATGTTTTTTTACCAGATCGTTGTCACTTTACCTACATTTGTACAACGTTCTGGGTTTTTATCAGATTCTTGTCACTTCATCTATATTTTTACAACGTTCTGGTATTTTTTTCGTTTTTTGTCGATGTTGGTCAGACTACTGTTCAAAAGCGTACTGTGTCATTAACGAAAAAGGTGACTTCGGTTGTGAAAACTACTGCCAGTGTGACCACAGTTACGCAACGCACAATGACAACTTCACAGTCAGCAACGCACAATGACATCTTCACAGTCAGTTGGTGCAAATGACTCGATGGTAGCAACAACAAATAATACGGCAGTTGTATCAGTTGTTCAGATTGGTCGACAAATAAATTTTCCAGACAATACAGTTGCTGCATATTCAAAAGTGAAATACGTCGTTACGGATCAGGAGTTGAGGAAAAATGAACCAATCTATTTAATTTCCAAATGCAGCGAAGCGGTAGTTAATTGGTGCAATTTTTCTACAATGAGCAGGATCAGATTCACTGCTTATAAATCGATCGACAGCATTCATTTTGAAGAGGAGTTAAATGATTGCCAAACAGTTCTGTGTTTTCATTTTGATGAAACAATTTTGTGTCTTCACGTACACTACCGTGCAAAAGTTTGGATCCACTAGGTTGTTAACGGCTGCAATCAAGTGGTAGAGCAAGTAAATAAAACACGTTTGGTTGAGTTAGTCTGGTAACAATATACTTATGTCTAATTTAGACAAGGTATTTTTCATACAAATTGACCACTTTTGGTGGACTCATTAACATATTTCGAAGCACCTGCACTCTTGATATTTTGTGCATAGTTTCTACAACGTTTCAATAGTCAATTACAGAGGTTTCATCAAAAAATATTCATGAATTTCAAAAATATAGCAATTTGAATTTGTACTGTGTGAAAAATGATCAAATTTGTATGAAGATTAAAACAGATCAAATTCAAATTGATATATTTTTTAAATACGTGAATATTTTTTGATGAAACCTCTGTGATTTACTATTGAAACGTTGTAGAAACTATGCACAAAATATCAAGAGTGCAGGTGTTTCGAAATATGTTAATGAGTCCACCAAAAATGGTCAATTTGTGTGAAAAATACCTAGTGGTTCCAAACTTTTGCACGGTAGTGCTTAGTTCAATATTTTCGGAATGCACTGCCTATTTTTTCATGTACTTGCAGCAACATTCTTCACTTTGATAATTGCATAAACTACCGTGCAAAAGTTTGGAACCACTCATGACCACTCACAATGAATCATTGGTAAGTTAAATAAATTAATTCTGAATTTATCAAAACGTAAAATTAAATAAATATTAAATTTTTATTAGGCACACTCTCATTTTTCATTACTGATTCTGGACTTAAAGCTGAATTGATTCATATACGTTGTAATGGGCGGAATCTGTATCAATATGTGATGTTTCCAAATGATTTCAAAATGATGGACGTTGAAAACTTCATGTATTTGAAACGTAACCAAAAATTTTCCGACTCAATTCAAGGCGTTCGAATGACCAATTTACTAACTAAAATAATACAAAAGTGCACGAGGTGCCTGCCGAATATAACGCAAACATTGACGATTGGGCGAATTCTCAATTGGACGTTGTTTCAGCCGATGCTGACAATCAAAATGATGTAAATATGCATCTGCAATTTTGGGAAGCAGCTAATTGAAAATGATATTGATGATGATGCATTTATCGAAGTCAACACTGAAGATCCACAGGAAATAACATCGCTGTTAAACCATGAAAATGCTGTGAAGCAAATTGACTCAATCTCCACATCCGTTACGTAGATAATTGCACACGACATGACCCACTTGCCAAGTCCGTTATCTGAAATTGTTGACGTAAAAGATCTGAGAAATAAACCTAAGCGTAAGTAAAACTGTGCAACAATTTTAAAAACAAGTCAAAGGGCCAAGACTTTAGTACTTTTAGAAATTGGCCTGCTAAGCTCTTGAGCAGCACTACAAAGTTGCTTCAGACACCATTGCTCTATTTCGATCAGTTGAGGAGTTATGAGAATTCAAAAAATGCTCAAAAATTTTGTTTGGTAGCCAGATTTGATTTTCAGCCAATAAAGTGGACTGAATGTGGTTTTTTTGAGTTAATGTGTTCTGGAGAGTTGTTTAATTTTTCTCTGGCTGTGATTTTGACGAAGAAAGTGAGTAAAAAAAATGGATTCCTCGTAAGTTATGGTCGAAAAACTGGAAAAATCTACCTTTTTCGGACATGTAGCCCACTTGCACCCACCAAACGTAATTTTTTGGTAAAGTTTGTTCACAAAACTTATTTATTGGACCTTTGACTACAACTTTGCTCAAGACATCAACATGCTATCACCAATACTAGATGAGTAGGGCTGATTAAAATATATATATATGTTGTGAGATTCTCACAACACTTCAAACAACAACCGATAAAAGTCGAAACACGAACGACTTCACAATGGACTTGGCCAGGTGTTTCCTGAAAGCGAATATTCCTCTGCACAAAATTTCGCATCCAAGCATGAAAGATTTTTTGGAAAAACATACCAAGTATGCAGCACCATCCGAATCAGTTCTTCGTCAGAAGTGTCTTCCGATTTTGTACGATGAATGTGTCGCGAATATGAAAGAACGCGCAGCCGACAATTTCATTTGGGTTTCTTTGGACGAATGCACGGATTGTGAACAGCGATTTGTCGCAAATTTTGTGTTCGGCGTTTTAGGTGTAGAAGAAGACCTTAAATTTTATCCAAACAAAACTGCGTAGCATTAAGAAGCACAAATGGAATCAGTGTTATATAGAACACAATGATAGCGGAGTTATGAGCATGAGAAAAACGTCAGTAACGTTACCGTGCGCCGTGACCGTGACCATATGTATATGAAACCGAACAAAACAACTGTTTATTTCATTTCTCTCGTTACCTTATTCTTCTATGAGATAAAAAAAAATTCTTTGTAAACATTTCATGCTTTTTGACGATAATTAAATATTTATCATAAATATTTTTGCAGTTTTTTCTTAAATATTAAATAAATATTTTGGACCTTTTGCGTAAATATTTTAATTAGCCCTAAACATGACATATTTCAACACAAAAAGTGGCGTCATTAACTTTATTGGTGTTATCAGTTTCAAAATAGAGCTTTCTCGCTCGAGGTGTTTCTTTGCCACCGCCCCAGCCAACTCCACCAACGCATCAAAACCTTAGGCAAAACCAAGCAGAGAACCATTGGAATCGTGATCAAAATGTCAAGAAGGGTCCAGCCGACAGGAGTTTATCGTACAGATACCTCTACCATGGCAAAATATTCGCGGTCAGCCTCGAATGCATTTCGAAGTTGTAAATAATCAACTGACGGTTCGTTTATCTAGACACCGCAGATGACTGTCGTCTAGATCTCACCCAATCACATTAAAGTTTGTTTTTCTTCATACTTGACTGGTATTTTCCCAGAATCTTTACTATATTTTTTAAGAAAATTTTTCATTTGATCACATATATACTAGCATATAATGACAAGAATTTAAACTAATCTTAATTATGCGTAAATTACGTGCACAATACTCTATACCTAGCTCTATACTATACGTATAAATAAAAATATCGAAAAACGTACAAACAAAAATATCGCTAGAAATATCGAACGAAGCAAAAAAAAAGAAAGAAATTCCGCCTGAAATTGAATTTGACTTTTTTCTGAGATTTTTTCAACCCATTTTTAACTTTTCATCCAAAGCATAAGTAAGAAAAGATTGCATTCATTTTCAAGACAAGTAAAACTTTGAATGCAAACTTGACCGCCAAAATATGGTATGCATAAGTACGCGGCACTTAAACATAGACCTAAACACCTAGCTAAACACTATCAAGACAGGTAATCACTAGGGTAATCAGATACAGGCAAATGTATAGCGTTAAATACGGCTCGTTACCCAAAAGTACGTGGCATGTAAACATTAAATTTATTTGTGTTCATATTGAATTATGTTAAATATATAATAATTTTATCAAATTTTTCTATGAATTTCTCTTGGAAGAAAAAACTAGAGAAAAAAAACAATTCGAATGTGCAATTTTGTTTTTATTTATATTTCATTTTAACTATAGTCACTTCAATGGCAAAGTCTTTATATAGATTGATTTATTATTATTCATTTGATTTGATTAAAGACACGTTTTTGAAATTCAATATGAAGATTGGGATGATAACTCGATGAGGTTTGATTTTAATTGTGAATAATCGAATGGTAATACATATCTAACATCGCCTGAAACTTCACATCTTCCGGTAGTTGGACTTTTCATAGTTACAACATAATCTTTATTGAAAATTGATTCTTGTGTTTTGTTCTGAAACAGGTGTAAAGTTCCATTTTGGTCACAACTATACCATAAACATAGAACCTGAAGGTCGCTTTTTTCAGATGAAACTCGCACGCGCGCGCTCCTTCGTTCCTGTGCAGCTGCCACCTTTGCCGACCGTACAATTTTTTGATATTATTACCAACGGAATTGGTTCAGTTGTGAACATTTACATTTTTAGTACATTTTAGCACAGTTTAGTACCATTTAATACGATGTGCTGCCTCCTAGAATTGTTAGGAATCGCTAGAAATGCACTAGGACCATTTTTCCAAATTTAGTACAATTTAGTACAAATTAGTACATTTTAGTACAGTGCGATGCATAGCTCTGCTGAAGTTCTAAGACTTTGCTTCAGTGATCAATGCTTT